CCGAGTAGCACAATGAAAGGTGGACGGGTTAAAATGTCAGGAATCCAGTTTGTGTGGTCTGTTGTTTGTTTGTCTCTCCCTCCACCACCAGGTGGCGCTCTGTCCTAGTTGGTCCTCCCTGCACTCCTGCACTCGATTTAGCTGAGTCCAATCTGAGTATTGTTTTACTGAGTCTAACCTTGTTTTCAGTGACGTGCGGTGAGGTTCATAGCTGGTGAGGCACTGACGTCATCAGAATCAGATTTGCAAATAGATGCATAGATTGACAGCAGTTTACAGGTTATGTTTCACTTCTGCATCCTTACACATACAAACTGTAGCTCACAAAACACACATTTCCTTAAAAAACAAAACAAAATAAATGTTATTACTGTCTTACCTTTACTTATAAATGAATAGAAGTCCTCCTTATCTTCCTTCAGTTTTAAAAGTCTCTCTGTCTCAATGGAGATCACTGCCAGGGAAGAAAGCCTTCCTTGATCCGTCCTGTTCCTGCCTTATGTTTTCAGTCTCTTGAGCACCCCCTGCCATGAGGCAAGAGAACTGCCTGCCTCACCTCGAACTTGTTCTCTGCCGTTTATAATCGCTCATTACACGAAACACGTTACACAAACACAGTTGGTGACAAAAAGCTCTGTACATTATATACATAAGCCAAATTATTAGAAATAAGTTCACATATTACATTTGTTTAAACCATTTTATTGACGCCGTACAGCAACATGCTCTCTCCGCTTTGCAGCCAGCGCAGAGCCAGGGGTTGCGCAATCCAAGGTGAGGCAGAGCTCGCTGCTGCCTCACCGGCATCGCTTCCAAGCATTTGAATGGGAAAATAAGAAAATTCAGCGATTTTGAACAAATAAAAATCGAAATTGGTGAAGCTACATGAAAAATGAATATTTTTTAGTACAAACCACCGGATGAATATAACAATTTAAATTACTTTATGATTATATATTTTCTTTCTTTCCATGATGGCTGGTGAGGCACTGCCTCACCTGCCTCCCCTGACCGCACGTCACTGCTTGTTTTTTGTCTTTGCGTTTTGGCAGGAAGTCTTCCTGCAAGCTGGATGTTTGGCCTTCTTGCCCTGGAAGGATTGTTTGAGTCTCACACTGAGCAGGGGATTAACCTCCACAAGTACCGTTCAAGTCCTCCTGGATTTCCAGGGGACAGTCCTCTCACATACTCCTCTGGGTCAAACAAAAGTATACCTGTCCACTCTCTGAGTCCCCTCTTCACTAGATCAACCCACACTGACTAGATTCAAAGCGAGAGAAGAACCCCCCCCCCAACGTGAGTCCCTGACTAGCATTATTCTTATGGCATCCAAGATTCCCATGGTCCCTGAACTAATCATTGTGATATCCTCTTCAGACTTTATAGTTCCTGTTCACCAGCTCTCTGAGTTCCAGATCCACCCCCCTCAAACATGACCACAATAAACCTGTTAAACCTTTGCCTTGCTCTCTGAGTGGTTCTCTGCATTGTGGGTCAGATCCTTAAAGCTGTAGTCTGTAAGTTTTTAAAAATCACTTTTTTGTCATATTGGCTAAAACTGTCCCTATGCCCAGACAGCAGTACATGTGATATGTAACCTGTGAAAAAATCTGCTTCAATTGGTCCCGCATACTGCCTGTATTTCAATCTGGAAAGAGTAATTCGGGACGAGTCAAAACAACCAATCACAGCCAGAGGAGAGTCTGATGGAGTGTCAATCACAGCTCACACACGCTGATTCCCGCCCCAACACCCAGAACTGGAACGGGACCCATTATCTGATCCGCTAAAGCCAGTCATCTCACGAGTTTGAAAACAGGGCAGTAAACCTCTGAGCGCTCCTCAGCTGAGGTGGGGGCGGGGGCTGCTCTTCAGTGTTGTTTGACCATGAATTGAACTTTAATCAAACTTAAATCTTTCCTAACACACAGCCAGTGAGCATGTGTTCACAACAGCAAAGGACATTCCCCAAGTTATTTAATTTATTACAATGTTACAGCAGCACTAAATCGCTTAACAGCTCATGGGAAGAAAGCAAAACAAAACACTAAGACTCATTTTAAACAAGTTTATACTTGTCTTTTTGAAATGTGCAACAACAGGTGGGGCATTGATATGCATCTGACTTGGAACGTGCCTAGTAGGATGGGTATCTATGTGCTTAAAGACCAGATTGTTTTACCCCTCAAAGAAGGGAAAAAAAGAAGGAAAAAAATGACACAGGGAACCATATCACAGCACACGAGTCCTCCCGGTGGATCCTTTAAGTAATAATGCTAAATTAAACCCTTTACCAAACAAGTAAATACATTAGATTTTGCACATTTTAAACCAAATAAAGAAATTAAAAAATAATGTTGAATAACTGATTGCATGTTACATTTTTGACAAGATGGAAACTAAGTGCTGTCTAATAGATTATAACTGAAAAGTTTGTTTAGGATTTAGAATGTCTCAACCATCATACCGAAGTAAACGTGCCAATTAAATTGACATTTCTTAGCAGTATCTCCAAAAACTTTTTTAATAACTGGCATCATTTGACTGGGCTGCTTCAGTTCTGTGTGGAGAGTAGGTAGTTATCTATGAAGGTTAGGGTTAGGCTTACAGGAGTAGATGGCTCAGTAAACAAGAGATTCCACACGCACTTTTTAGGGAATGGCTACTTGGGAATTATATACTGTATGCATATATATATATGTGTGTGTGTGTTTTTGTTGCATCTTTCTCTACCATAGGGTGCCCCTGAGGCTGCTGCTGGGCTGACTGATGCATCCGCTTATCATCCAAAAGTCACCTCCCACAGGAGTGTGTTTGCTGCTGGCTGAGCCTGCAGCAACACCCATTTCGGTAGAAAAGACATGTAATTTTGTTCAGTATGCAGTCAGACTGCATTTGTGTATTATGATTCTGACATTCTGTGCCTGTGGATCCAACACCACTTACACATTCTTCTCAACTATAGCTGTATATAATCTTTAAATCTTTTATCTACTATTACCTGTAATCATTTATCCTGTATTATAACCACACTAATATGTATATATGATCCATATCCTAACTTTCCTGTATAATCTGTATATAGCTACCATATTTATTTATTTAGCCTCTTACAATTACTCTCTGTTCATATATGCAGCTACATTATAGTTTTTTATTTATTGACCGTGCAATATCCTGTGCAATATGTTGAATGTGCAATATTTCTCCACCTGTATATAAGCCATCCGGATTGTACATATTTTTATTTCTTATTTTTTTATTTCTTATTTTTATTTTGTTTTTCATTGTGTGCGATACATGTACACTTGCACCTTAATCCGATTTATCTTGATATACTGTATATACCTGGATATACTGTATATACATTGCTTATTCTTAATGCACCTTTTTCCTCCGTGTTTGCACCTTCAGTAACTTCTATGCCAATATGTGATGAGTTAATTTCTCCACTGTGAGATCAATAAAGCTCATCTAATCTAATCTAATCTAATATACAATTTACAGTGCATACATACATAGTCTCTGTACACATGTGAATATATCTATCCTGTATAGCTGTTCTGGATAGTTGCAAACTATATTTTGTTGTTTTGTACTCATACAGTGCAAGGATAATAAAGTTGAATTCTATTCTAATTCCAATTTATTCAGTGGACTGCTGCTGCATGATGCATAAATGAATGCAACTTCTTCCCTCAGAGGGACTAAGGAAACTATATTGTTTTTTATACATTGTGTGGGGAACTGCTGTTACTTTGGTAAGGGTTCATATTGAGGAGTCAATTGACTTCAGCTTGGGCTAAGGGTTACAGTCACGGTTAGGCTGTAGAAATTACTGGAAATAGACCCCACAAAGATAGTCAGACTAGTTTGTGTGCATGTGTTTATGTAAGATTTTATGTGGGACAGAGAGTTGGTTAACCATTGTATATCCAAAACGTAATAAAAATGTGTGTTAAAGGTATAGTGGAGGATTTTTGCGAATTTTTGAAAAGACAAAAAAAAAATGCACATGCCCAACCCTGCACCTGCTCCTGAGAGAGAACGCCTGTTAAAGATGTGCAAGAGCATGCAGGAGCCCATTTCTCCTTGTACATGCTTTGTTTAAAAGTTGCTGTTTGCATTGCTCATACAAGCTTAGTTTGCAAAAGAAGATTTTCAATTTTTCCACTACGTCAGACTCACATTATGAATTACCTCTCCTCTCGAACACTGATGAGAAAACGGATTAAAAATAAGGAATGAAAAGGGAACTTCTAAACATATTCTTAATATTTTCATAGTTGTTATGCATGGATGCCCTAAAATTGAGAGTTTTGGTGGACAGATAAAAGCAGAGAAATACCTGCCTGCAGAGAATTTTCTACCTTCTCGCACATGGATGAGAAAACGGATTGAAATATTAACGAAAAAGGGAACTTCTACACATATTCTTGTTGTTTTGTCAGAATTCTATCAACTGAGCAGAGAATAAATTCATCTGACACTGACTGCAGCACATCGACTAAAACTTGTCTCCATACAAGTAAAAATCGTATATTCTTTCAAATGCATCTATCCATCAGAACTCTAAATTTTAGGGTATCCATGCATAGGCACTATGAAAACACAGAATATGTTTAAAAGTGGCCTTTTTGTTCATGTTTCAATCCAGTTTCTCATCAGTGTGTGATAGAGGAGGTATTTCTCGGCATAGGGTTAGTTGAAAGGGGACCAGCATGTAGAACAGCCTTACGTTAACATATCCTCTACTATACCTAGAATGAAAGAAAGACCTCCAGTTTACAGAATTATAATGTGTGATTTGATTAAAGAGACAAAAATGTATTATTTTCTCAGCAATAAAAGCACAGGTAATGAAACATAAAAGCATATTTGCTTCCTCGAGTGATTCAAAAAACAAAATGCCATGACAAAGGGTGTAACTAAGATGATGGGAAGTCAAGGTAAACCTGAAAGATTACATTCTTACAGGAAACAGCTTTAAATGTCATTCCTTGGACTGAGCCATGCTGATCATTCGGAAGCTTGAAGCTCGCTAAAACCGAGAGCAGCAATGGAACCTCATCGACTTCAGTTGGATCAAGAAACTTTCTCCTGTCCGATTTGTCTGGAGCCAATGATGGACCCAGTGACTATTCCCTGTGGACACAGTTATTGTAGGGTCTGTATTAAAAGACACTGGGATACAGAGAATCTGAAAGAAAACAGCTGCCCTCAGTGCAGGAGATCCTTTAAAAGGAGGCCTGATCTGGAGAAAAACACCATCTTAGCAGCTTTAGTGGAGGAACTAAAGAAGACTGGACTCCAGGCTGATCCTGCTGATCACTGCTATGCTGGACCTGAAGATGTGGCCTGTGATTTCTGCACTGGAAGAAAACTGAAAGCCGTCAAGTCCTGTTTAGTCTGTCTGGCCTCTTATTGTGAGAAACACCTTCAGCCTCATTATGATTCAGCTACATTTAGGATACACAAGCTGGTGGAGCCCTCCAAGAACCTCCAGGAGAACATCTGCTCTGATCATGATGAGGTGATGAAGATGTTCTGTCGTACTGATCAGAAGTGTATCTGTAGTTTCTGTTTATTGGATGAACATAGAGGCCACGACACAGTGTCAGCTGCAGCAGAAAGGACTGAGAGGCAGAGAGAGCTGGAGGAGAGACGAGGAAGAATCCAGCAGAGAATCCAGGATAGAGAGGAAGATGTGAAGCTGCTTCAACAGGAGGTGGAGGCCATCAATCACTCTGCTGATAAAACAGTGGAGGACAGTGAGAAGATCTTCACTGAGCTGATCCGTCTCATCCAGAAAAGAAGCTCTGATGTGAAGCAGCAGATCAGATCCCAGCAGGAAACTGAAGTGAGTCGAGTCAAAGAGCTTCAGGAGAAGCTGGAGCAGGAGATCACTGAGCTGAAGAAGAAAGAAGCTGAGCTGAAGCAGCTCTTAAACACAGAGGATCACAACCAGTTTCTCCACAGCTACCCCTCACTGTCAGCACTCAGTGAGTCTACACACTCATCCAGCACCAATATCCGTCCTCTGAGACACTTTGAGGATGTGACAGCAGCTGTGTCAGAGCTCAGAGATAAACTACAAGACATTCTGAGAGACACATGGACAAACATCGCACTGACAGTCACTGGAGGGGATGTTTTACTGTCAGAACCAGAACCACAGAGGAGATCGGACTTCTTGAAATATTTCTGTAAAATCACACTGGATCCAAACACAGCACACAGAGAGCTATCTCTATCAGAGCGGAACAGGAAGGTAACAAGAACGAGTCAACATCAGTCTTATCCTTATCATCCAGACAGATTCACTGACTGGATGCAGGTTCTGAGCAGACAAAGTCTGACTGGACGTTGTTACTGGGAGGTGGAGAGGACAGGGATAGGATTTTTTGTTGCAGTCGCGTACAAGAATATCAGCAGAGCAGGAAAAGGGAAGGAATGTGGATTTGGCTGCAATGACAAATCTTGGGCTTTAGAGTGTTTTCAAAACAGTTCCAGATTTCGTCACAACAACGTCTGGACTTTAATCTCAGATGCTGGTTCTACCAGAGTAGGAGTGTACCTGGATCACTCAGCAGGTGTTCTGTCCTTCTACGACGTCTCTGAAAACATGACTCTCCTCCACAGGGTTCAGACCAGATTCAGTCAGCCACTGTATGTTGGATTTTGGGTTGGAGACTTTGCTGAGTTCTGTAACCTTAATTAGTATCAGTCTCTTTGTTTATTGCTGTAAGTTTTTTATTATCAAGACTCTGCACTATTGTTCTGTTTCTTTACGCTTATTTTTTTTTCTACAAGTAGCTGTGTAGGATTAGACTTTGGATATTTAGTTTTTAATCTTAATTTGTTGTAATTTTTCCCCTTTTGACATGAAATCTCTATGACATTCTTTGATAGTCCTTTTTTAAGTATTCACTTGATGATAAAGTTAATATATTTAAGTCATCAACCGCATACCTCAAGATATATCTGCCTAACTATCTTAAACAGATCAATGTCCTTACAGCTTTTAGCAAATCCTTTTGTTTGTCAGTTTGCAATATGGAAATAGCACACCGTGATTTAATCTTACCCATCAACAGAAATCTGCACCTGTCTCATTTCCTGGTTTGAGGTTTGATCTGGTTGTGGTATGCCACACCCACATTTTCTGAGCTAAAACAAGTTTTATTTCACAAAGTGTTTAAATAATAATATAACATCAACATTTTTCTGTTTTCTTATATGCTCACCCAAAATATTTTTTACCAAAATATGATCAAGAGCGGTGATAATTAAAAAGGGCCCCCTCGTGTCAGTTAACTAAAGGTTATTGTGTTATGATAAAGCAAATCACTTATCATAAAATTATTTCTAAATAATGCTTTATTTACCTCTTGGATTTGCATAGTGAACTGCTTTGAATGCATTCCAATTGCTCTGAATTGTTTATAAGCTAAATTTATCAAATTCCAAATTCTACAAGACTTTGTTTCTCAAACATAAAATTTATGTCAAACTGTCATATCATTGCATCTTTTTATTGATTATGTTTGTCCATCATGTTGTCCCTTCTTTGATGTGTACATAGTAGCTTAGATTTATTTAGTTTCCCCGGTTTAGTCAAGAGTTTGAGCTCTTTGATTTATTTTTCAGAATAAACTCATAGTTGTGGTGAAGTTGCGGAGAATTTATTCCATATATGTGCAGAGCTACCTGTTTGACCATGATTTGAGCTTGATTCACACTTTCATTCGTTGTTCTAACACACAGCCAGTAGGACATATTTTCACAAAACAATACATGACAGTCTGAATATTTTTTATTAGATCATATATTTTCCAACCCTTAGAGATGGGCAATAAACATATAATTGTACAAGATATTAGTCCAAGTGAGAAGATATAAAACAATGAATCACAAGCTCAAGATCACAGTTTCACAGAATTGTTCTTAACTTGGCTGTTTCTCAGGTGATAGAAGCAATTTTTCACCAAGAGTCTAGAATGGGTTCCAAGTGATAGTGATTGGTTGAACCATACACCATGATTCCAAATATTTGACTGACTAAAGGAGCTCTCAGTGAGTCAAGCTTTTCCACTCATAGAGATTCCAATAACTCTGGTAGTGTCAACCTCCGACTTCTTTAAAGACATGTATACCTGGATATCATCAGAATAAACATTTTGAAAATGGATAATGATTTTGTCAAGAGGCCAGATGTATAACAAGAAAAATATTGAACCTAAAACTCTAAGGAACACCATGCAGTAAGATGGGCTTCATGTTTATACAAATGGTCATTGTTCTATTTGTCAGGTATGAAGATCAGGACGAATCCATTAGTATTAAAACTGAGAACTGACCACAGTCCACAGCCACCTGGATATTGCTGGACACTTTCAGCATGGTAGTTTCTGTGAGTGTTCTTTAATGAATCCAGGTGGAGAAATGTGATGCATTTCCCCCGACCTCCCTGGTGCTGTACCTTTGGATAGGACTCCACAGTGTCCCTGTCCATCAGGGTTGTTTGAGAGCTTGGTCGGCCTAGTTGTTAGGGCATAGAGCTTGGAATCCTGAGGTTGTGAGTTCGAAACCCATTACCACTCTGGGTCTCTGAGCAAGACCCTTAACCCCCGATTGCTTACTAGGTGCCCCATGATGGCAGCCCACTGCTCCTCAAGGGGATGGATTAAATGCAGATGTAAATTTTTCAAATGTGGGATCAATAAAGTTCAATTATTACTAATTAAGTTGCAGCAGCTTCCTTTGTGCTGGTTAGTCTTGCTACCTTTTGTTTGTGTGCAACAACACTATTAACAACAGGTTTATAGTAATTATATTAGAATTTAAGAATGTGTTTGCTTTTTTTACATGTCTGTATAATTCATAATAAAAAACAAAAAAACAAGGGTTTATAAAGAATGAGTTAATGATCAACTTGTTGGAGTACCTGTGTTAAATTCCTTTCCATTTGGTTTATTAACCTTCTTAAGGTTAAGAGCTAAGAGATAAACTCCTGAGAGACAGATGCACACACATCTCACTGACGGTCCTCGGCTGGATTACCTCCAGTCAGGACTAGAACTAAACACAGCACACAGAACCAGACAGATTCACTTAGTGGTGGAAGGTCCTACGGAGAAGGAGTCTGACTGGATGGAGCTGCTGGAAGTTGGAGTAAAAAAAAAGCAGATGGTATCCTCTGAACTTTGCAAATGTGTTGTTTTTTATGTGTTTATTCTGCTTTCCTTCACCTTTCTGTGCTCAAATATAATAGAGAAGGAACTCCTATATACCATGCATCCATTTCTCCAGTGTTTTTATTGACTCCAAATTTACTGAGTTCCTGATTTACAGTCCTGCAGCTCTCTATTAACCTGACCCCGCATGGATTTGATGGATTTGCTCCGCATATCCATCTGGAAAACTTCCATTGTAGTAATTTTAGGAAGGGGCGAAAATACTGGTTAGCTGATTGGCCTATGTTGGTGATAGACGGGCCAAATAAACCAATCAGATCAGCGAAGCATATGACGTACTAACAGAGCGACGACGAAAACACAACCACAAGCCAGGCTACTCTTGCCGAAACCAGTCGGGAGAAGAGCAAAAACATCTTTTCCTCTGAGAAAAGCCTCCAGAGCAGTGTTTTGCTCTTCTTTCAGTGAAGAAATACGCTGTAATTCCGATAAAACTTGCTCGATAGCCACGCTAATGCTAGTTTCATCGGCTGAAGCCGCCATGTTCTTTAGACTGAAGTGTCGCGCTTCTCGTTGCGTCACACCTCAACCCGCCTCAAAGCCAACGCTGATTGGACATTCGTTTGGTGAACGGCTCCAAATTTTCTTTAACAGAGAGTCTCCAGACTGATCTGCGAGTGAAACCTTGAAAGCTCGCGAGATCAGGATGGTCTCACGAGGCTAGCTCTCTAAGGGATTTGACAGAAATGCAGACAAGGTAAACAGCCAGGCTCACTCACGAAGAGTCAGAGACCCTGCATATTTTCCTCCACCAACGTTATTATGTTTTTAGAAAAGTCTGTCTGTCTGTCTGTGTACAGGATAACTTGAAAAGTTATCCTGTACTCATGCCAAGGAACAGCCATTACATTTAGCTGATGATCCAGATCATAATCTGGATGCAGGAATTTTTACAAATATTCTCTAACATTGTAAGATAGGTATATTCTGCGTAACAAGCAGTTCCCCACTAAACCAGAGGGTGGCAGCAGAGACTATTGACAGCCTCAGCATCGGACTCAAAAACACAAGAAAAGGGAACGTCGTTGGTTTGTTGAAACTTATGAAATGATTTTAAATGAGTATTATCTTTATAAGGTGTGTCTCATGCCAAGGAACATCCATCCATCTTCTCCCGCTTAAACCTATCAGGGTCGCTGTGGGGGTGGTATCTATCTCATCAGTCTATGGGCGAGAGGCAGGGTACACGCTGGACAGGACGCCAGTTTGTCGCAGTGCCAAGAAACTATTTATTTAAATTTGGTAATGATCCAGATGCGAGTTTTAACATTAAGTGTAAGTCATAATTTATGGCAAAATTTGCTGCTTGGCGGAGGTTTGCACTTTCAGAGTGCTTTTCTAGTCTTATAAGTTTACTCGTCTCTTTTACTAGTAAGAGAGTAAAGCAGAGACTGTTAAGTATCTCCACTAACTCCGCTGTCCTCCTCTGCAGTGAACCCACTCGTGACCAGTCCAGTCCCTTCCTGGATCTGATAAATCTGTGTACCTTTTCAGAACCCACTCGTGACCAGACGAGTTCCCCACTTGAACCTGATCATAAAACTTGTACATTCATCTTTAATAAACCTTTGAACTTTTCTCCTGCCTATGAGTGTTCTGCATGTGGGTTAGACACGTTAAACCAAACATGACACCTCCGACCAACTCGCACCCTCTGTCCTGCCTCCCTCCCCCCGCACAGTCATTCAGATGCAGGTGAGAGGCCAGCGGAAGAGACTGTAACAGAGGAAAGCCTCGGGACTGGAGAGCTGAGCAGCTCCTTTCGTGAAAGACTTTTACACCCTGGTTGTAAAAAAGGGCGCTACCGCAGGTAATTCATCCTTGGTGCCACCACACTCCACAATGCAACACTATAACGACAATATCTTGTGCAAGATAGCAGGATTATTATACCCTGTAGAATAATACATTAAAGACTACCACATACTGTATACACCCCCATGCACCTTTTCCTCCTTCTGGCACCTTCTTCTTTTTGACTATTGAGCTGATGTAACAAGTAAATTTCCCCACTGTGAGATCAATAAAGTAAATCAATCAATCAACCAACCCCCATGTTCTTTACGTACTCCTCTTCTGTCTGGACAGAAATGACAGAAATGTGAGCTCCTTTGTGAAAGTCCTGAAGTTTGTAGATGTAACCACTGTTATCAGCCCAATCCAGGACAATGGAGCTTCAACAGGGAAGGGGATAGTGGACTTACAGAGAAAACCTGCCCACTAACCCCCTTCAAAATCCTCAACAACACTGACTACTGTCAATCACCTCTGCTTCCTAGAAAAAAAAACAACCTTTCTCTGGATCTGAGAGGCATTTATTACTAGTTGGGCTTTTGCTTTACTATATTAGAGATTTATTTTTATAGTTCTCCTAACTAAGATAAACTAGGACTAATGAGGGCTCAGAAAGTTACATTTTTGTACAGGTCTTAAGGTGGTGGCCTGCTGACACCTACAGGAAGATTGTTTTTTTACACAACATGTAACCCAGAAATTATTTGTATATAGAGTTTAAATTGAGGTTATGAAAATTGATACTACTCTTGTAAATATCACCACCAAGACAATGAAAATTTGTCAGGTTAAGGTATTTTAATTAGTTTCATAACAAATCCTCTTTTTTGGTAATGCTACATTATGCTAACCTGAGCTGCATGTGGTTCTTTGGACCTTTAACAACAGTTCTTATTTATTTCTTCCTTTAAAGTCTTTTTGGTTTTTGCGCTCTAGAGGCCTTTATTTTTGATGATTTTTTTGTATGTAAACAGGAAGGCCACAAGGCCTGGACTCATTCCTATGATGTCATACATGGGTCACACACTGAATCCCTGGACCGATACCACCACCACTGCACCCACAGCAGCTCTTATTAACTTCAAAACAAAAAGAGTTAATTTGTGTTTTTCGATAAAGGTAGTTTAATAAAAACCGAGATTTTAAATATTCTGTCTTGGAATAACTGCTCTAAATTATACAATATAAAGATACAGTATTTCTATTCTTTTTTTTTATCAAATTTTTTTTGTCATTAGATCTGAACTGCTGCACCATTTTCCACAAAAATCAAAATCCAATAGAACGAAATGTATCCATCCTGTAACAATGAGCCATTGTTACTTCTATGTTTGATAAATATAACAGCTGAACACAGCATCTGTTTTTTGTTATTAGTTTTGTTTTGGGCGCAGTGAATTTGTTTGGGGTATGGCTTCTTTGGCAGGCCTCACAGTGGAAAAAATTGAAATGTAGATAAGTAATTTTTTCTTTAAATAAGTGCATTTACTCTTGGATTGAGGAGGTAAAAGAGACACTTTACCAATGTAACAAGACAATTTACACTTAAAATCAGAAAACACAATTGCATTGTCTTATTTCAAGTGCATGTTATCTAATTATCTTATTTTAAGAGTAAGAATACTCATTCCATTAGCAATCTATCTCATTTACCTACTCAAATGAAGGGTAAATACTCTAATTTAAGACATTTTTACTTTTTTCTAGATCGTTTTTCCAGTGCATCTTGGTTTCTTTTTGAATATTTTTATCAATTGCTCAACTCTTCCTAAATGGGAAACATATGAATTAAATGAATAAGGCCGGCTACTTGGCCTTAGTCCCACAGTGCAAAAAGATGAATGTTAGGTTAATTGGCATCGTGTTTGTGTGTTGTCCTGCAATGGACTGGTAACCTGTCCAGCTGTAGCTTTTCGCCCATTGACTGCTAGAGAGACACCAGCTCCACTATGACCCTGATGGATTAGTGGCAGAAGATGGATGGATGGATGGATGGATGGATGGATGGATGGATGGATGGATGGAAATCCCATGAAATTAATCAGAGGTTCGACAATATATAAATGCGGAAGTGCGAGGGATTGAAACGACTTTCAAGAAAATATTGTAAAAAAATTAAAACAATAAAATCAGCAAGGACATTTTCTGTTTTTAGTTTTTTTGTGATTATTTGTCATTACATTTTTCCTTTTTTTGGATATTTTACTTATAATATGTTATTAGATATTTACTCAACTTGTTTTAGCACTGTATTTAATTTTGAACATATTATTATTTATTTCTTTATCTCTTTTTTTATTTGATACACAGTAAAACCAATTTTACCATATGCTCCTTTGAGCAGGGATGCTGTAGCTTGAAATGTAATGCAGGATTAGGCCACTAGAGGTCTCCCTTCAGGCCACCTGCTCCTCCACTCTTCTGTCTGTGTTTACCTCCCAGTCCCAGCGCTGCTGTAGCGGTGGCAGACTGGGCGAAAAGCACCATCTTCTGTCCGGTGCTCCAGAAATACCGATGTAAACTGCCTATGCCTCATCCTCTGGGGATTTTTCTGTTCTGCTGCACCGTGTGTTAGTGCCACTGCCCGTGGCTACG